AAAGATGTCACAATCATTTTTAGTCATTAAATGTGAAATCCAATAGATGAAAGTTTTTCACAATATTCAAAAAAATTAATTTTTGACTTTGTACCTGATTAATGACGCATCTTCAAATCACTCGATTTTAAATCTATCAATCAATAATGATTGCGACCTCCTTGTATCAAAAATAAATGGTCTCATTGTTCATATTTCCTACTGATAATAGGGCCGAATAACCCAATTGTGTCTGATTAACCACACATACATATTGATGTGCATGATATTCTTTCCCTAATTAACGACTATCCTAAGGTAGCTCACCGTATGTTCATCTATTTATTAAGAGAAAAGTTTATATAGAGCCTACCTCAAAATGTTTTACTAGAGGAGGTTGTTTTGATGCCCAAATAGCATCAATTTGATCATCTCGACATCAAGATGCATGGACATGAGAAAAAAATGGATTTCAAGTTTTGAAAATAGCGTACGTTGTAACGCATTTTTGGACCGTCAATTTTCAAGTTTCTATAGATCTGCTTAACCTACACTATTTTTTAAGCTCAAAATTTTATAAATAACTATGAAAATATAATTTTAGGTTATCACAAAACTTTCCAGTATTGAAACCATATTTCTCAACATTATTTGAAGGTGTGCTCTAATTGGATTGTTTAGAGCCTCGGCTCTATACAAACTGCACCCATTTATTAAATAAAGGCAGGCATATTGGCTACATGAATTACTATTGGAATTTTATTTTTCATTTTATTTATGTATTACTTACTCAGATATTTTTTGGTGGTGGTCTTATGAACCCATGCTCCCATGTGAAATTATGGGTGCGGGTCACGTTGCCGATATTGTTATGGTCTTTTAGGAAAAAGAAGGGAGAATGAGTCCAAGTCCAACATGCTTCAAAGTTCAATGTGAAAGCTTATAAGAAAATAGTGCTATTGAATAAATTAAAGGATGGTTTATTATGAGACCATTGTTACAAGTTCACAAATTAATGCGATGGTTAAATTAGCTAATTTACTAAGAAGGTGGTTATTGTTTAAAAGAAAATCTATCAAAGTTACTCATAGAGATGAATTATTCAATATTTTATCATTTTATAATTGTTTGAACACATGATCATGTGTCGTTTGATGTGTATTTAAAAATGAAATCAAAAGATATGGATTGAGAATTAATTATTTCATCTCTCATAGATATTTTAATAATTTTTCAGCGTTAAAAACTTATTTAGCTTGATACCTCTTCAGCGATTTTTTATAATATGCCTAAATTGCTCATGTTTTGAGTTTGGAACACTGATAATAGTTTTGTAATATGGCTACCTAAATTACTTGAACCAAACGGCTTGAATTCTCCTGTTTGTTCCAGCTCCAACCTCAAAACACATTTTGGGTTAAAAATCTTATTCAATATTTGAAACTCTAACCAAACTGGAGTGTTTAGATCTTTGCTCAGGTAACGTAGTTATGGTTAGATTATCAAAATAACCCCCCATGTTCCATCTTCCAAACTCAAATTCACTTTTTCAATAAAATGTATTCAAGGCCAAAACATTGTTTGAATTTTAATCGGTAGATGTATTTTCATATTTGGATGTATTTGTTATCATTGATAATTCATTGTTTCAATAAATTTGCTCATGATAATGTAAATTTCACAATACTGGCCATACGGTTATTTGAGATAAATTTAGAGGCAATTACATATAAGTTTATCTTTTATAAAGTTATTTTTACTTTATTCAATGTAATTTACTAAAAATCAAATATGTTTAGCAAAAAATAGCTAAAAATAATAAAAATTAAATATCGAAGCCCATTTCATTGTAACGAACATTAACAAATAAACAAAATTTGCAACACACCCTAAAAAGCGTGGTTCTAGCGCAATTAACATAGACCATCCATTTTGGTGAGATGCCTAAATCTAGGTTTTAGGAAAAAATATTTCCATTCCAAATTTTTTAGATGACTTTATTATCATTAGATGAACAATGTTAAAAAAAACAAAAAAACGGAAATGATTTTGGTTTGCAAAGGCCTAGTCTTGAAACTCACCAAATGGATGATCTAGATTCATTGTTAGAGGAGGGATCATTTTGACCGTGCAAATTGAATTTTATTTTGGGTGTGGTTTCTAGAAGGTCACAACCTTAAACAATCCAATTAAGGGGCACCTCCAAATTTTATCATAACATATAATTTTGATGGAAAAAATTATTAAGATTATCTCAAAATCTATTTTCATATATAATTATAAAATTTTAAACTCCAAAATTGGTTAAAATCAAGTACATCTATGAACCTATGAAAATCTTGAAAATGAACGGTGTAGATATTGTATTTCAAGATGCACTATTTGCAGGACTCAAACTCTTTTTCTTTCATATTCATACATCTCAAAGTCGAGATGATCAATTACAGATTATTTTAATATTAAAACAACCTTTTTAGATGGATTTTTGAGGTGTATTTGTGATTCTACATTTTAGGGTTGCAACCGTATATAATTTTTTTATTTTATTTTTTGGGGATTATTTATGGAGACGAAGCGAGAGAGAGAGAGAAGAGAGAGAGAGAGAGAGAGAGAGAGAGAGAGTATAATTTTTTAGCTATATAAATAGCACAAACATAATTTTTTAGAAATATGATTTTATTATATTATAATGACTTGGTGCTATGAAATCAACCCTCTATAGAGTAACACTTACAAACACTCATGAGAGAATTTCTACAATGCTTCACTCATGACTCATTACCATCAGAAGTATATCAACTGACCATAATTATCCAATTGTATTTAAATTTTAATAATTTTTTATAAATTACATTGTGGTTTGTATAAGGTTAAGGCTCTAAACAATCAAAGTAGGGTGCACATTCACATAGTATAGAAAGATGTTGTTTTAACACCAAATATCTTTATGATGGCCTAAAAATTTATTTTTATCTCTAGTCATAAAATTTTAAACTTAAAAAATAGTGTAAATCAAATAGATCTATGAACACTTGAGAATCTTGAAAATTGACGGTCTAGATAATGCATTACAAGATGCACTATATACTTTTTTTTTATGGCAATGTATCTCAAGGCCGAGATGATCGGATTTAAAGCTTTTTCGGCATCGAACTTCTTCTACCGAATATTTGAGGTGCACCTTAATTTGATTTTTTAGAGCCTCAACCTTATATAAATTTTTTCTTTATCTAAAATTTGATCTCTGAAGCCTTGTACAGCCCACATATATATTGGTGTCTCTAAGAAATTTTTTCAGAGAGTATATTAATGAAAAATCTTAAAAAATATGAACATTTGACTGGATATCCGCAACAAAAGTGATAATAGTGGGGTTCTAGGCTGACACCAACTTTGAATTCATGTGGATAAGGGGGTCGAAAGGGGACCATGTTCATTAATGCGCATGGCGTGGTGTAATTCCATTGAATGAAGACTGAAGAGACAGTGTTCCTCCTTACAGTGTTCCTCCTTTATCTCACAGGAAAGCGTTTACGCTTGGACTTATGCTGAACTTTTTGTTCATTTCTTCTCTCTCTCACTTTGACCCTCTCATGGACCCTCTTTCCTCTCTCAATCTTTTTAAGAGCTCTAGGCTGGTGCGCCTTCTCCTCATGTTTGAAGTTTTATTTTCGCGCGCATACCGACTTTTTTTATTTTTTTTTATTTTTATTCATTTATTGGGATGAAGGCACACATCAAATTTCTTATTTTATAGAAAGAAATTAAAATTAAAAAGAATTAACTACAAAAGAAGTCATTTATTTTTTTATACACATAGAAGTTACAATTTTTTTTATTCATATTATTTTTTTTTATAATTAATATTCATGTTCATGAGTGACAAAATCCAATAATTTTTTTATAAAACTTTGTATTCGCCCATTGTGAAATATATGATATAAAAATGATCGAAACATCTATGTATAGAGGATGAAGGATCGATTAAAAGAATCTCTTCTAATCGATCCTAATAAAAATACTATGAGACATTTATCAAGATATAGTAAAAGTGAATATAGGTTTTCTTGGCCGATAGTGATTATTAGGTAGTTGTAAGTGTCAATTAACAGTCACAATAGCCAGTAAACAATCACATCTCTCCCCCTCAAAAGTCACTAAAATGGGTCCAATTTCCCAATTCAGACGAAACCGTACTGTCGTACATGGAAGAAATAGGAGGAAATATAAGGTGGAGATAAGTCGCTTAAAAACAAGAAGCTTTCTTCTTTATTATCATTTTACAAGCCTCGACTATCTGATTTTTACTGCCCGGCACGCACATCCTTATATTTCATTCAACACTCTTTTCTCTTTAAAACAAGTGCCTTTGTCCTTTGTCCTTGTAATTTTATGTGTTCATTTTAGAAAGGACATAGACCTTTTTCTCTCTCTAAACAGGACATAGAGCCACAGCATTCAAAGCAAGGGCAATGTCATTTCTCATTTTTGGCACTCACCTTCTCTCTCTAAGACAGCCAGGATACATCTATCCTTTCATGAAAAGTTTGAGGACATCTTCGTCCAGTTAATGACTCAGGGGCTCATCTCTTCTCTTTTTTGTTTTTGGTCTACCTCTCCTTGCACGACAAAAAATTGACATAATTACCCTTCTACTTCCTCGTCAGGAAATGAAATGTACGGACAAGTACTAAATATTCCCTCTTGATTAACCTCGTAATTATTCCTAATCGGGCCAACTCTTCCAGAAAAAATATCGACCGAGGCCTCAAATGTCAAGCGCAAAACCCGCAGTAACGAGCTGAGGCCAACCTGCCCAACCCGAATCTGAAAGGCCTGCTCAGATTTGGGTTGGGCTCGGGCATCTATCTTTGATTTCGGGCAGGGTTTGTGCCGGGTAGGGACTAGAATTTCACGCTTGGGGCAGGCACCAGCCCAGGCCTGTCCAGCACATGTTTTTGGCAAGCATTGGTAACGATTGACCCCGGCCCGATAACAACCCTGCTAGAAAGAAAGCACAATAGAGGAATTGAAATTTTATTAATGGGTAGTAAACTTGTTCAAAGGAGTACAAGATATATTAAGAAACTTAGTAAACGATTAAGAGCGTTAATCATTAGAGGCGGCTATAAGAGGACGGCCCATATTAGAAAGTGTGATATGTTTTCATGGGCATTTTGGGCCTCCTCTCTTGGTCTTCCAGTTATTGTAGCATGGGCAGGTTTGCTTGTTCCCATAAAAGCCCGAGGGCACACACAGACATTTTCTGCAGCACTTTTGGCAGAAAAACATGCATGGCTTATGGTACTGAGTTTGTGAGCACCTTCTTGTGCAAGCATTGGGGCACTCTGTAAAAGCAGCAGAACAGAGAGAGAGAGAGAGAGAGAGTTAGAAGAAGAGAGAGACCCAATACATGCGAAAAATAGAAAGAGATGAAGAGAGAGAAACACAGCATATGAAAAATGCAGAGAGAGAGAGAGAGAGATGAAAAGAGAGAAACCCAATATTTGAAAAATGTAGATCAAAGGAATTTCATGTGGAAAAAGAAGAGAGAGGGAGTTAGATGAAGAGAGTGAAACCCATATATGAAAAATGTGGATCAAAGGAATTCCATGTGGTACTCACGGTAGCGTCTTAGACTCCCTGGTCGAGAACCTAAAGCCTGAACACAAACAACAAGAGAGAGAGTAGTCAGTCTCACAACTTTAGAAAAGTAAATAAAATCTTCAAATCTTAAAGAACAGTAGCTTACAGCTTCGACATTGTATTCTGCTGTAGCTTGCTCATTTTGTGCCTACAAAAAAAAAAAAACCATTTTAGCATAGAAAAGCCAAAGTTCAAAGATTTTTGAGTTGAGAGAGAAAAAAATGAGTGCAATGTGAGAGAAGCAACCTTAGAGTCTACGACCCATGCAGCTGCTAAGAGAAGGGCCAACAGAGCCAAAATAGCAAAGGACTTAGGCAAGGCCATACTCTCACTACCCCAAGAACCACTGGGCAAGTATTCTAGAGAGAGAAAATGGGAATGTGGTTTTGGGGTAGCTTGAGGAGGGCCAGAGCGAGATGGGGGGCTTAAATAGAGGGGCAGAAGGACCAGAAAAAGTAATGGGCTTTTCAGTTATGAGGGTGGGACCCATGGAACATGGGATAGGGTTCAGTTTAGGGCAATTTTTTCTAGTGAGAGAACATGGAAAGGGCGTCAGTTTTAGGGTTTTTTTAGAGAGAGAAAGAGTTGAAAAGAATAGGGGAATGCAATAATTAATTGGGTTTTTGGGAAGCAAGGGCATGTGCTCTCTGTGCCTAAGCACGTTACCCAAAGCCAATAGAGAGGAACAATGGTGCACCATTCCACCGACCGATAATTTGTTATCTTATCATATTTCGTGGGTACGAAACTTTGGCCGAAATTCGGCGAATATTTGAAAAGTTGGAAGAGCCTTGTATGTCTCTTAATGGCCCGGGCTGTACTTCCATGACAACTAGGGCATGAGCACAGGCTTCAATTATAAGACCCTAAAAGCATGTTTCGCAAACACTTTAAATTTTCACAAAACTGAATAAACACACTTGTGTATGTTGTACAATTTTAGGAATTTATTTTAATGCCTAAGAGATGATATTTTGAAATCATTATGGATTGAAATCTGCCCTTAAAAAACAACAATCAGTTACATATAAGTTGATCTCAATCAAAATTAAAGTTGAGACACAGCCTGGGAAGAAGAAAATGATGTATAATAACTTTTAATTGATTCCAAAAGATCTCCACAGCTAGTTCTAGAATTTTGAAATCAATGGGGTATAAAATATTTGGGACTTTGATTTAGTTTCTAAATCAAAAGTAGATCTCCTTGTGAACATGGAAAATGTAGCTAAAAAGAAGAATTGTATGTACATGGATACTACCTTCCAATGGTATGATTAAGTTAAATGTCGATGGTAGTTCCCTTGGCAACCCAGAGGCGGGAGGTGTTGGATGTTTGTTTAGAGATCGTATGGGGCAGATCCTTTTATCGTATTATAGTCTAAGTGGTAATGTCAAAGCGAACAAGCCCAAGATGCATGTGCTGTTGCAGGGTTTGAATCTTTCTACTAGGTAAAACCTTACTAGTGGAAGGGGGCTCAAAGTGCTATAAGTTGTTGTAGTTAGCAGAGGACTCATGAAGATTTAGATGAATCTAGATGCAAATCTTAGATTATTGGATAAGTCCAATATGTCCTTTGCTCATATTTACAGAGAAGCTAACATTGAAGCGGATCAATTGGCTAAACAGGGTCGACTTGTTTGAAGTATTGTTCCTAGGTTGATCAGTTGAGAGCTCACTTTGAAGCTGATCAAGTGGCTAAACAAGGGGTTCACTTGTTCAAAGGCTTGAAGACTTGATCTCTTACTTTCTGTTCTTCTTGTGAACACTAGATATCAACAAAAGTTAATAACTGCTATAAAAAAAAGGGAAAGGTTTATATACTTCCTCACTGTATAAAAGATATATACTTTCCTCCAACCAGCCATCCAATTTAGATCAAGTGAGCTGCTGACCGCTTGATCGAGATCTGATGCTTCAAAGTATTTTTTTTTAAAATTTTTTTATTAAATTATATGAATATGAGATTTGATACGTGTCATATCTCAATGGGGTGCATCTAAAAGATATTTAAAAATATTTTTGATAAAATATAATAGCCAAATTACCTTTCGAACTTTCAGGGGTATTTTGGTTATTTTATTTTATTGGGAATATTTTTTTTTTCCAACATTTTGTACAAGTGCGAGTTTAAAAGAAGAATAGACGCAAATTTTGGCATCAAAACTATTTTGTGGAAAATAAATTTTAAAAAAATATTGTAGAGGTGTGAGTGACAACGTGATTGGGGCCACTAGAATAGATGGTTGGATGGGAGGGAAGTAATATAAGTTTTATACAGAAGGGGAGTATAGAAAGATTGAAGAGGGTTATAAAAAGTGCAAGAAAAAGGGGGAAAAATAAGAAAAAAAAGGAAAAAAAGTTAAAAAAGGTGTATGACTACGAAAGAATGGACATGGTTTTTATGAGTCCATATAGAAATGAGTCACCTATTAAAAATCGATTTTTGAGATGGAATTTTTGACCTCATTTTTAAGGACATGTAATCTCTAACATGGAGATCATAAATATGAAAAAATAAATAAATTTTGAAAACTAAAAATAATAGTACTATTAAAAAAACATTTGGACCATTAATTTCTTTCAATTGTTTTTAGATGGATCACCTATTTGCATTCATATTTAAAACGAATGCTTTATACCTCGAGGATCCCAAAATGTAGAAATGCGCTCCCACCGCATGAAACAATTTTCCACTAAGAATTCAACTACGATAATGAAGAGAACTAGAGGGTACTCCACAGTACGGTCAGACCTTTAGTACGGTACAGGAAGGAGCGTAGGACCACTCAAATAGCTATACTAAGTTTAATAATAATAATCTTTGGACTATATATATTGGAAGTGCACTAGGGTTGTTCAAGATTATTCTACAAAACTTAAGATACTCAACAATCCATGTGGGTAGGTGCACTTTTTGGGCTTGCAAGTTGGAAAGATAAAGATTTAACGTTACCCATGTTATACATAGCGGTGCACAACCATATATATACATGTGACTATTTTATTGTTATTAATTTATTGGGAAAATATTAAAGAAGGGGTTAAATCCCGTCATAATATTCCTAAAAAGGTCAAAAGATATTAATTACATTTGTTGTATGCTTTTCAATTAGCTACGTCCTCAAAAAAATTCATTTTTTTTAAAATTATCCTTATTCGATATTGGGAAGCCAGAACAATTAGAGGTACTTTGATAATTTTATCTCTAATTAAAAATTACTCTAAATAATTGTGACTTCCCTATACCAAAGATAAATGGTCTCATTGTATATAATGCCAAATTGTTTTTACTCATATCTATACATCTCACCTCAAAACAACCTTTTTCGGGGGGTTTTTGAGGCGTACCTTACTTCTATAGTGTAAGATACGATACAAGATTTTTCCTTTTAAATTTGATTATCAATGATGGTGAAATTTTTCAAGTCATAAGGATCTCCACAATTAGGTGTATCGTCTATCGGACTACATGCACAATTCAGTCATGCGGAACCACTTGATACAAACCTTGTAAAATTTGATTAATATGGGAGCATCACAATTAAAAAAAGAGAAAATATTTAGTAAGACCATTTATCTTTGGCACAAGGTAGTCACAATTAATCTAGACCATTGGATATAAAATTGGGTGGTTGCATTATTTCATTGACTAAGGGCAAAATTAAATTTTTTTTTTTTAAAACTTTATGAGGTAAATAGTCTCATTGTATACAATCCATAAAAAAATAAAAAAAAGCAGCAAAAAGGACAACCTTATTTCATTTTGTTGAAAGGATTTTTCTGCACGGGAAGCCCTTGTCCAAACCTAGGGCTAACAATGGACCCCGCCAGCCCTGACCCTAGCCCTTATCCCCATAGGCCCTTCCCAAACCCACGACTACCTGGGCCATGGCCCTGGGCCCTATCTTAGCCCTAGCTAGTCCCACCAAACTGCCGAAGTGCTGTGGTCTTCCACTGGGCCATATTTTGTGGCCGAAAGCGCGAACACTTTAAACATGCATAAAACTCTTATATTCTAAGCTTGAAATTAAAATTCGAAAGAAAAACAAAAAAAGAGAAAAGCGAAATAGTCTCAAATTTTACAGCGACACTTGTACACATGTGCGAAGTGGATCATCGTGTGTATGTAGTTAGGTGAACCAATGCCTAATTAGTTTTAGGATTAGGGTTCCAAGATTAAGCACGTTACTTTGTAATCATGCAAGCTGTGCATCAAGTTGAGGCAACCAGGACCTTGACTAGATTGGCCTGGAGGCTGATGTCGACCAAAGTCATATTGACCATCAGAGCAACCGCTCCTTTTAGTTTGTCAATCCCGAGTCGACCCGACCCCAGCCCAAGTTTAGACCTAGATGATGGACCCCGTTTTTTGAGCATGGATTTGATAGGAACTGCTTGGACCCATTCGGGTAGGGCTAAACTGAGTCTGGCTTTATCGGAACTGGATTCAATTTGGTTATAACGTACAAATATGAAGCGAGTTGAGCCCAATATTTCTACTAGCCACTTATATTAATCATGAATATAAGGATGAATATCATATAAGCGGTCAAAACCCTTTACAAAATCATGGGTCAAAACATCATATATTTATATATTTCGTTGGGTAGTTTGTGGAACTAGGATGCCCATTCCACAAACTATGAAAGAAGCATTTTTCTATCTATTTTGACAGAAGAGGCGGCTTCCAAAAATGGGTTGCGTTACATGTTAAAAATTTGCCCCATGAAGGCTGCCCCCACTTTGGGGCTTCTACATGTGTTATAACATGGAAATGGGACCTCCAACTCCCATAAATCAACCAACTGATAAGGTATTTTATCAAAAAGTATCCTAAAAAAATTATCCATTTTGCTCATGTTAAGGTTGCGAACCTTGAATTGGCAGGGTAGTTTAGTAACTTCACTGACCCAAGGGTCTCCTACCAAATGATCGGAATGCTTTTGTTTGTTTAGGATGGGTCAAATTATTAAATTGTCCTTAACTTTATTGAGGGTTGCTGAACATGGGTACTTGGGCATTTTTAAAGATAACCTTGAGCTTTGATACTTGAGCATTTTTAAAGATATTTTTTGAGGAGGTATTTGTATGGGATAATAATTAGTAAATAAAATTTTAATATTAATTAGGATCTTATGTCCGTTTAATGATTTTATAAAGGGTTTTGACCATTAAATAAATTTTGGATTGATAATCCAGGAAAAAAGAGAGATCGAGGAAGATGTCGCACACAAAATTAGAATTGGGTGGGCGAGGAGATGTGCAACTAGAATTTTATATGATCGCCGCATACCAATGAGGTTGAAAGGTAAGTTCTATAGGACAACTGTGAGACCAGCTTTGCTCTATGGGGCAGAATGTTGGACGGACAAAAAACAATATACCCATAAAATGAGTGTAGCA